ACTTTCACAAGAATTGTAAACCATCTCCTTGCCATCTTTCACAAAAATAATTTAAAAATTTTTCTTTTGTCTATGTATTTTTATTGCCTATTACTAATGTTGACATAGACTGTGCCCCATCTTCTATAGCTTTTCCATAGTCGAAAATAGGTACCTTTGACAAATCTAAATATGTGCCTCCAGATGCAACATTTCTCTTTTTAAAAGATTCTATATACGTGCTATTCTGAGAAACTGGTTCATGACTTGTTTGTTTTATTTCCTCTTTATTTGTTTGTTGTTCAAACAAATCTAGGTTACTCATGTCTGGAAATCTAATATGGTCATCAATTTCTAAATTAGAAACTTCACCAACTTTTCTTTTCCCTTTATCAACTTTTTGTTGATCTGTTTCCATAAGAGTAGGAGTATCTTCTTCTGTTTCTTCAGATGAAAAATATTCTGTATGGTAGTTTCTTCTTTGACTACTGGATTAGTAGCTAAAATTTTATCTGTTTGATTATCACTATCAAAACCGCTTTCATCAGTAGTATCATAATTAAATATATAGTGATAATTTTGAAAAATTCTTTGAGTTTCATAAGTTCTTCAATTATATGCAGGTATTCAATCCTTACTTTAGGAACAGTTACCTTTTCCATTTTAAACTTAAGGTATTCTATAAGATTCTTATAAGATTTAAAGTCTAATTTCTCTAATTTTAGAGAATTATGGTTGAGATGATGATGGATTATCATCATCAAGTGTAAGTATAGTATTATCATAATATAAGGGTCCAAAGTCATTTGCTTGACTTTTACTAATATCTATAGTTTCTATTTTTTTTATTAATATTATCAATTTTTTATTCTAATTATTCTACTCTAACAAAAAGACGCTTAAAGAAAGATGCTGATAAATCTACTAAACCATTAATTCCATGGTTGATTGCCAGAGTATGATTTTCTAATTAAGGTTCTATATGCAAACTATGATTATGAAATTTTTCTGGACAAATCATGCCATTACCACTATTAAAGAAATTGATTCAAAGATTATAAAAATCTTTGAAACAAGATCTTATGATTCACAAATCAAACCAAGATTAATGAATCTACGAGATTTATTTGTCCCAACAGATTGGCTTTTAGAAGGAATCATAAAAGGACCTAATAGAGTCAAATCTTTAGAATTTTTTTTATCAAGAAACAATCTTTATTTTAAAAATCTAGATATTATTTATATTGATGATATTCTTGTTTTTTCTTCAAACTTAGATCAACATAGGAAACATTTAAATTTAGTTTCTCAAAAATTTATTAAAAATGGAATAATCTTAAGCCCTAAAAAGATAGAACTTGCAAAAACTGAAATAAAAATTTTAGGATTAAATTTATCATCCGATGGTCTTACTCTACAAGATTTTATAATTGTAAAAATTAAAGAATTTTCAAAACAACGAAAGATAAAAAACATTTACAAAAGTTTTTAAGTTTCTAAATTATGGACGACAATTTATAAAAAAACCTTTTCAAAAAGGAAAAGATTTTACAAAAAAAATTAAAAAAAGATATTCCTTTTATTTGGACTACTAAAGATTTTGACATGATCAAACAGATAAAATCAAATCTTATATTTATTCCTAAAGCATATTTTCCTAAAACAAGAGAATTATTAATTTTAGAAACTGATACTTCAAATGAACACTAGGATTGTATTCTTAAAGCTAAGGTAAAAAACCAAGAGTTAATTTGTAGTTATAATTCAAGAAAATTTAAACCAAATGAAATAAAATATATTATTTTTGAAAAAGAATCACTTGCAATAAAAAATGTAAGAACAAGATTGCATATTTATCTAGCACCTGAAATATTTATTATTAAAATTGACACCCAAGCTATTGAAGATTTTTTAAAAATAAAAAATTAGATAATAATCTTAGGCAAATTAGATTATATAATTTTTTATGCCAATATAATTTTACCATTGAATATATTAAAGGAACTATCAATGTTCTTGCTGATTTCTTGAGCAAGCAAAATAGACCGAGGCAAGAAACCTCTTGAACAATAAGGAGAATGGATTACCATTCAAAAGAAGCAATCTAAAACAAAGATTTTCTCTCAAAATCCTAATCCAGGATTTCCTTTTCAGCAACCAATCCCATATCCTAATCCAAGATATTTTTATTCGACTTAAGCATATTTTTCTTTCTCACAATCTTCATTACAATCCGTAATGGAACTTGTCCAAACTCCCCATATTTCTCAATTTTCTCAAGATCCAAACCAATGGACCCCTATCTCTTATTCTAAAATTCTTATGAGAACAAAGGAATTGCTACAACCAAGGCAACCTCCTATAGAAATAAAAGATTTTTATAATTCAAGTATACCTCATGAATTATATAATTTGCTTAATAGTATATTGAAAGCCTATATATCTTAAAGTAAAGCTAATTTTCGAAAAAAATATGACAAAATTAGCCTAAGGTTTAGCTAATCAAGCTAAAAAGCAAACTTGATTTCAAGAACTTGAATACAAAACAATGTGAGCATGTACTTGCTAAAAGAGCAAGATCCAGATTTTTTCACTATTGATGAAAATCAATATTCTCTTGAAGAGATAAACAATCTCTTAGAACTTTGTGAAATTTTTTAAAATCAAACTTTTTCTTGCAAAATATTAAACTTAAAAAAAAATTCTTATATTTGAAAAAGCTGTCAATCTCTTACCAAAAGAGATATTTCAAAAAATAAATAATTATATTCTTCTTGAAATAAAAAAACTATTATAAGAAAATTTTGCAAATTATCATTTTCAAAAAGATAATTCTATGATCTATCCTGAAAATAGTGAAATAAGAGAACCCTTTTCAAAAATAAAATTTAAACTTGATCCTAAATTCGATATAACAAATATCAAAATTGGACTTATAGAACAAATAGTTGTGCAAAATTTTACTTTCCATTTGATAATACAATTTTCAGCCTTCGTTAAATCAAAATTTATTGATTTCATAAAAAATTATTAATATTTTTGCTATATTCATTTTAAAGTTATAAGCCTAGAAAGATTTATCCAACCCTATCAAATTTGAGAAATTCAAAAATTAATGGGTGGACCTCTTCTTGAAAAAATTAATGAGAATTCTAAACTATTTAATTGAGCATTAAGCAAATTCTCCTCCCCAATCAATATCATAATGATGGATAAAGCAAAAACCTTGCATTGTGAGATAATAAAATCTCAATATCCTCCTTCAACCTTTTGCTTCAAGAGAGACGTAGGATTTTCATTCAAGTGGAGAAAATCTTTCACCAACTGAACCACAAGCCCTGAATCTGTTGGAAAAATTATCAAAAATAGAAGATATAGACTATCCTCAACATTTGTTATTCCAATATCAAGAAGGATGAAACATATGGAACAAAACCAAAACCAGCTCTCCACAATCATTCCGCCCTGATGATGGAGAATTAATTAATCTCATCCAATAAGGATAAGATAGCAAAGTCAACATCAACTTGCAAAGTAATAAAGCAATCAGCTTGACAAGTCAAAATCAACTTTTAAAGCAATGGCTGTGTTTCATTTACAATAAGATAACTCTAACAATCAGGGTTACAATAACTAGGGCTAAGTCAAACCAGGATAGTTTAAACTGTTTATAAATAGGATCAATATGGAGAAGAAAGGCAGAAATGGTATTTCTCAAGTTTTTATTTGGCTTACTCTTGAGCTCTTCACGCTTCCTAATCCAAGGAAGGGCTTACTAGTGATATCAATTCTGGTGGTGAAAAATCAGTTCTTATTTCAAGTAGTTCAAGTAGCGAACAATTTGCATTGGCTACACAATCTAACCATAGAGGTAGAGGTGGTACATTAAAGGGTGGTCAAGGAGCTCAAGGTGGCCAAGGGGGTCCTAATGAAGGTAGAGGTAACTGTTAATGCACACATTATGGAATGAAAAATCATACCCAGGATCAGTGTTGGGACTTACATGGTAGACTTCCTGATGTAGCTAAATTAAAATGTGGTGAGAGCTACTGAATTTCATTTACTCCACCTAGTTCCTCCTCTAACGTTGGTGACCAGAAAAGTGATGGACTTACATAGTTCATCACTTTTCTCTATCTTTTGTTTTATACATTATTCAGTTTTCCTTTAATCCTATGTTTGTCAGCAAGCTAACCAAAACATGGAATTTTTCCGTTAGCTTTCTTCCTGATTTTGCTATTATCCAGGATTAAAGGGAAATTGAGGAATGTTTGGGTTAGCTTGCTCTTCATCAAATGGAAGAACTTGGGTACATATGAAGTGTATGCTCCAACTTGAGGGGGAGTGTTAAGTATTTAGATTAGAGGGTATATTAGTCATTTGAAGTACTCAATGTTCTAATATAAACACATACAAGACTACCACATTGGTAGACTCCCTACTTTTTTCCCTAATAACAAAAAGAAAAAGGTATAAGCTAAAAACTTAGTGTAAGACTCTCTTAAGTCTAGGATGGGAGGGTAAGATTTATGTGCTATTGGATTGGACTACATAAAGGGAACATCTTATTAATTAGGACTTGAGACTCCACTTAAAGCTCTCGGATTCTAATCCTCCCCTTGTATAGCCCAAGACCACATGTATAAACAAAATATGTACCTTAATAACAATTTCATATTAGTGTATGGTCCATCTTACATTATTCTACTCTCAAACTAAGTAAATAGAGAAGTTTCCTCTGCTCTACTCTCCTTAGTTCCACCCATTTACTCTACCATCAAGACATGCTATAGAGGAATATCATCACTACATTATGGATTATGCACCTATGTGCATGTTTCCTCAACAATTGATATGAGAAAGTTTTACCAAACCAATCTATGTTTAATAAACGCATCAAGAATAAATATAATCACTATCCAAAATCCACCAAGAGTTGTTGTACAATCAACAGACACAGATTCTTGCATCTCTACATATTTAAAGGCTAATACCCCCCCCCCCCCCCCCCCCAAGGCCAATCTAATGAATTGGGCATAAACACATAGCATAACTTATTTCCAGTTTTAGGCCTTCGTATTATTATATTTTAAAGGTTTAAATTTGCAAATGTAATTAAGACAACTTCTATTTGATGTTCAAATAAGAGGAACAGCTTAATGAAATAAGATAAATATAGTTGTCTATGGTGGTCTACATAAGCAAAAGCAAAACCCCTATAAATATAATTGAATTGTTACTTCAATCAAAGGCACCAAAGCGACAATATTTCAGTGCAGAAGGTTGAAGGAGATGGGAAGCTTTGACAAGTGACAATGTAAAAGGAAATGATTGAGTAGAAGTTAACAGGTGATGGAGCCTTATACAGAAGTGAATGGGAATTAAAAGGAAAAATAGAACTAAAAGCAAGATAGATTTGAGGTTGCCACAATAAGACTTTACGAAGTAAACTCTTATGATAATACAGGTAGACAGATGTGCACCTATATATAGATCACAGATTAAAAGTTGGATCTCTCACCTAACAATTTAAGGTTATAATTTGAAATTTTCTTTGAACAATAGTACAAACACATATTTCATTTAGGCCTACAAATTAATCAAAAAATTAATCTTTACAACAATAACCTGAAGACAGGTCGACCATAAGCTTTAACAGTTAGCTTTTAAGATTGGCACTACTCATACAAAAAACATGCTTCATAATTTAGGAATGGCAATCAACTTGGTACCTGCTCATTGATGTTAGGGGGCTTTGTTTTTTATCTTGCCATAATGTAATCAATCATTTTCCTACTAAGATAATGAGTTATTAGCACAAGTAGTAAGATAAAAATACAACCTGAATCGTAAATAAGAGCAGATCTGCTCAAGTTGGCGTGCCAGTATATTATTACATTGAAGCTAGGTTCAACTCTCCACCTTCGTTAATTCGCTTTTATTTGTTTAATACTTTAAATTGTTACTTATGCAGTAACTTCTCGTGTTAGGATGACTTGTCATAATAATATAGCAATTCTTAAAGCATCAAATCATAAACTGGTTAAACAACGTACAAGATGTCAAAGATAAAACTATATTTTTGTACTCTCCCAATAAATTAAGTTTTCGAGCCAAGTGGTCCATGTCTTATTGAAGCATCATTTGATGTATTGATCCAGATTGAACAATACCCACATTCTGATTATTAAATTTCAACACGAAGCAGGCCACTAACTGATCCATGCTTTCAAATCTTGAAAATGAGCATAAAAGGCATCTTGAAAATGAACTTATTTTTGAAATCTTACAAACATTAGGTTGATTAGCTCTTCCTTGTACTAGTAGCACATCTTTACACTAATGGTCTAGAATTCAATTAGGACAATATATGCAATGGGCCCTATATTTAGTCCACACTTTCAAGCACAACAGTGGCAATGGCTAGTAAATAATTGGATATCTGATACTATCCAATCTGTTTGTTGGACTTGGATACTTATAAATGGATAATCAATGGATTTGAATATTCTTGACAGATTTGGATAGGATTTGGATAATACCCCTTGGATATCCAATATCCAATATCCAACATCCAAATCTGTTTAAGTTTTAAAGGACAGTATGAGATATTCGAATCCATATCCTAATCCGTTACCCATTAACATATGAAAATATGTAAACTTTTATGTTTTTCGAAGGTTTAGAACCTTAGCAAAGGACTTTTAGCTGTTATTAATTAATTAGGTATGGCAATGGATGGTAAATAAATAGATATCAGGTACTATCCGATTCGATTATATCAGATTCAAATACTTATAAACATATAATTAATAGATTCGAAAAGTAGATTTACTATCCGTGACAGATTCAGATAGGTTTTGAATAATACCCCTTGGTTATCCAATATCTGAATCTGTTTAAGTTTTTTAAACAATATCCGATATCCATTTAAGTTTTTTAAACAATATTAGATATCCAAATATGGATAGGTTTTTTAACGGATAGTATTTGATATCCGAATCCATTATCCATTTACATATGCAAAATATGTAAAATTTTATATTTGTGAAAAAGTTCGAACCTTAGCAAACAATCTTTATTTATTATTAGTTAAGAGTGAACTTGAATTTTAAATTTGATTTTTACTGATTTTATATTTTGGCAAAAAAAATTAAGTAAATGGATATTTTAACGAATTCTGATATCATGAAATTTAAATGGATTTAGATACAAATACCTCATAAATAACAAATATCCGCTCCGTTGCCATTCCTATGACCATGCAAAATGGACTCTTTCAAATTTTATAACAATTCTTAGATCCCACTTAATATCTTGATATCAAATATACAGATTCTTATTTTAACAATTGGCAATATAAAAATATATTTGAAAATAAACCTAGCAATTCGTATATTCGAGTTATGTTTTACACAAAAATTGTGTCATAATTAGCGCCGATGCAAAAAATACAATATATTTTTTGGTTTTTGTTATACATGGTTTTTACTAAAATTTTAAACTCTATCACCTTTGTGTCTTTTATTGTATCGTTTTCTTGTCATATTATCATGTCATGTTTTATATTGCCAGGTTTATTTGAAAATAACCAAAAAATGTAAAATGTTTCACCAGTAAATGAACTAGAGGGAAAGGAGAGAAGAGAAATATAACCTTGGCTAAGTAACCTCGGAAGTCATTTGGGTGGCTAGAAATTAGCTGGTCATAAACAGCTACCGCATCACGAACATGGCCCCAGTCTGAATAGGCTTTCCCCAGAAGTAAATCAACCTGAGAGAGATATCATAAACAAAGCCCAGAGAATCAGATGATATTTCTCACCATCAATAAGAAACTTACCTATCAACAACACTGATCCACCCAAAATTGACTAAAAATGAATAACACAAAATGACCTGACTCAACATGCCAACAACCAATGGAACCAAATCTGGATTAACTCAAAAAGTCAACAATGCACAGAAAGAACCTATACTTGTACCAAAACAACCCACCCCGTTTCAACTTTTGAACTTACCCTGGAAATCTGCAATTACACCACCATATTATCTGATGTGAATAGAACATAGATATGAACTACTATAACATGTAGTTAGCATTTTTTAAAAGGAAAGACAGGAATCTTAGCTTAGGATATTGGAAATTGACCTAAACTTAGTAATTTGTGACTAGATGCTTTCATTCTCAAAGTGTTCAAGTTCTTTTGCCGTGTGTCTGAACATGTGGAATACATTATACACTGACATAATAGAATTTCGAGCAGTGGACCAAAATGCCACGCATCTTGTTGTGAACACAAGTGTAAGTGGTTTGCCATTTTTTTTGAAGCATCATGTATAAGATGGAAACTCTTTAGCGAGCAAGATTATTTTGTTGAAAGCAGTATTCCACTTAAAACATGGCAGAATTTCCAGCAGTGGAATGACCGTTAATTCTATTTCCAAACCATATCTTTAACTGGGAACTCAAACCTAACAGTGGCATGAGTTCAAAAGATATTACTTTAATCTAAAAAGCCTAAGTAATGCAACATGATTTAGCCAGATGGCCAAAGTTAACCATTTTTTTTTTTGGCTGAGGTACAATTAACCAGTAACTAATGACTTCAAAAGTAAATTTATTTATCTTCATTTTGGTGTAGAAACTTCGAGACAAAGTACTTGTTATGCTTTGCTTGATAAGCAATCCATTATGAAGAGGCCAACTGACCTGAATAGGATCCACCTTCTGTGATTCTGTTTCCATTTTATTGCTGTCAGCCTTGAGATTAGGACGAGTTGATCTTTCCATATTCAGGTGTTCACGAGAGGACAGAAGGAATTGAACAGCCTGCATTTACAAATTAGGTAGGAGACAGTTCTTTAATATTATATATTAAGTATAACGATTATACTCATAGTGGATGAAAGTAAGAAATGATATGAGGGTTAAAAAAGTAAATGAAAATTTGTTTTTGATAGAAATGAGTGGGGCAAGAAGAGTTAAAACTACGACCTAAGATGATTCCTTTTTTTGGCCTTTCATACAGACTACCCCAGAGTTACGAGATATAAGGCTTAGTTTGTTGTTATTGTCTTATAAAGATTATATTCATAGTATAAAAATCACATTCCAAAAAACTAGTTTCTTGACTTTTTAATTCCATCTAAACCATACACAAACTCAGTCCTTTATGTTGAGAAACCATACATAATAGAAATTAAATAGTAAACAAATTTCTCTACAGTACTAAAAGATTTATTAGGGTGCATTGCAAAAGCAACATTGTCGAAAATGCTTCCACATAAAAACCAGAACTTAAAAACACTTAGTTGCAAAGTGCATGAGATGCATCACAGGAGGAAGAACAGAGAAGGTTTGTAACACTCTAAACATTATTCTACCTAGAGAACCTATATGGTAAAAAAAATTTCTCCACAGCACCAAAAGGCTGATTAGGGTGCATTGCAAAAGAGACATTGTCAAAGATGGCTCCAACCGAAAATCCTGAACTCAAAAACATTTGTTTGCAAAGACCATAAGATGAATATCAAGAGGAAAAACAGAGTAGGGAGAGAAGAAAGAGGAAAGAAAGAATACAGAAAAATAAAATTAAAAAAAAAAAGGAGAAGAGAAAAGAGTCAGAGACTAGGCAAAAAAAAAAAAAGAAAAGAAAGAACTCTGATTTCAGAATTAAAACATCCAAAATTTATTCCAAAAGAGAATAATAGCAATACATACATACATATATATATTTATATATATATATATATATATATGCATGTGTGTGTTGTTCGGAAGCCTAATCTAGCCTAAATGCTGATAACCTTAAATAATTTAAACGAAGGCAGCATGTGATCTAAGAAAAATATTTAAATTTTATTAATGATTGCCATCAAAGGAATGGGCAGATGGTAATCTAGGAAATTGGAATACATACAAGAGAAGCACCAGAATAGTAAATAAAGTTCTAAATGTTTTAAAACCCACAAAAAGTAAAACAGGATGGAGTGAATGAAAGACATTGATAGCCAGTAGAATAACACCTTCGCTACTTATAGACACAGCTGAAGCTCGTGTCAATACATTCGAGTCCTTCAAATATCTTGATATCCCCTATTTCCATGGTCCATAAATCAAGCAATAAAAAGCCGTCGGTATATCACTGGCAATTTAGCAATTAGCAAACAAAAACCCACCCATCTGAAACTAGTCTATTATGCATCATTAATTCTACATGTCACTGGCCCAAAAAAAGTTCAAACAGGTTAATTTTCGTGAACAAAAGAAACAAATATGGGGTTTCATTATTCAACAAGATCAAACTACATGCCACGCAATTTAAGGAGATCTGTTAAGAGTATTTTTTGCCAATAAGAAACAAATATAGGTAAGCAACCTAACAGACCAACATTTTGAATCAGTTTACAATAGAGAAAACATTTTATATCCTGGATTACAAACTACTTAGGATGCTAAAGTGAGGAAGATAACCAAAGACATCAACTAGTAGTCTATTACATAAACAAGGCTGTGGACAAAAGCACCAAGTACACACTTATTTCAGAATACTAGCCAGTTACCTACCTCATCCGGCCTTTTAGCAGCAAGCAATGCATTTGTAAGGCCCCGTAAAACCTCAAAATCAACATCTTTGGACACCTACCAGCCAAAAATAGAGTATTCAAAGAGAGCACCAACAAATTTTAATTAACTAAGAAGGTAGGGAATCATCAATTATAAAAGCATATATTGTTGTGAATGAAATACAAAACTTCATATTCAGATGAACTTTGCATTAGACAACTGAGGTGGAGGAGATAGAAAGAGACAGAAGAATAAGAAATCAGACACAAGTTGAGTTATGCAGGACAAGGATTCATGAAAGTACTCAAACTAGCTCTAGAATAAAGCATAATTAGAGTTTAATACAGAAACATGCAAACCATGAATAGGTACTACAAAGGCCTGAAAATCAGTTTTTATCCATAAAATTCTTTGAAATATAAATTTGAAACAGTAAAGGCAGCATTAGAATCAAACCCTATGCAAAACTCTTCTCTGTCCTCTAATCCAACTTCTAACAACCTAGATTTTCCTATTGCTCTTTGAGAAGATCAATAGTTTTGCACATGACATCCTATTTCTAATTTTATATCATGATCATTTGTACCATTCTGAAATCTTTTCTATTCCCAAGTCTTTTACTGAAACCTTAGCTTTTCCTGGTTACTGAGCTGCTATGGAAGACAAAAGGCACTCTTTGAAGCAGAATGATACTTGGTAACTTGTATACTCCCTCAAGCCAAGTCAATAGTTGGTTGAAAATGGGTGTATAAAGTGGAAGTTAACCCATAAGGTAAAGTTGTGAGGCTCAATGCTTGTCTAGTTGCTACAGGCTACACTCAAGGAATAGTGCTTGAATTTAGATTTTCCTACAGGAAGTAGTGCTTCACTTTAGATTTAAAGGGAGTGGAAAACATCATTCTGTTTCTTCTATCAGCATATCACTGAGGCAAATGAGCAAAATACTGTTAATTGTGTAGGTGACATTATTATCACAAGCGATGATTGTGCAGTGATACATAAATAAAAGTTGTTCTTGCAAGAATCCAAATCCAACCTACAAGACCTTGGCTAGCTAAATTATTTCTTGCATATCAAGTTGCCTAGATCCCTTTTCAGCATATTCTTGTCTCAATCAAAACATGTTTTTAACCCACTCTTTGAGACAAGGCTATTAGTATCCATGCCTATAGATACTCGTATGAATCCAAAAACCAAGCTTGTAAAAAGTACATGGTGATTTCAAGATAGTACAAGAGATTGGCAGGGAAGTTGAATCATTTGACAGTTACAATGCCAAAATCTCCTTTGCGGAAAGTGTAGCTGTCTAGTTTCTTGATGCTCCAAAGACTAGTCATTAGGATGCTCCAAGTCTCCCTCTCTCCTTATAACAGATAGAATTTTTCCAAGTTGTACATGAAATAACCCCCTCCTCCCCCAAGAAAAACAAACGCCCTAAATAAAAAAATAAAACCCTTCCACCATCCCAAGCCAACACCTCAATAGAAAATTACATGTGTGTGTCTATTGGATCCTAAAAGTCATCATGCACTGCACTGGACCACAAACAAATTAGAGAAGGAAAAAAAAAGAAAAAGTACTCAAGAGGTACCTAGTTAGAAGCATACTTTTTTTTTATAAGAGTTAGAAGAATACTTTTAATATTATAGTTAATACACATAACCAGGTGAACAAAAGCAGCCTCATATATATCCAAAACAACCAGTAATAGGAAAAAGCCCAACATATCTAGAGAGCACTCACCGCTGTAGAAAGTTTGTATGCAGCAGCACTACCATCGTAATCCTTAAGTTCATATTTAACTTCTCCAAGCAAACGAAAAACATCAGGGTCGCCTGGTTTCTCCTATAGAACATAAATATTAGTTAATTAGTTAAAATAAAGCATTTACGTATTTTCTATAATTACATCACTGTAGCAATGTATGGCTTATAAATTGCATAGTACATCCAATATTAGCAAACCTTTGCCAAGTCCTGAAGGAGAGAGGCTGCCCGAGCGTAGTCCCCTAATTCTGTCAATGTAACTGCTGCTCCCTGCAAGTCTTAAATTTCAAATTGTTGTCATGGGATCATAGATGCTGAAGCAGAGAAGCATTTTTCTACTTATTAAAGTACATATGTACTTATATATACCTTGATGCCTTATATGCATAAATGGCAGACAGGATCAGCAGCAAATGACAGAACATCATTGATAAGGTTACACATTTATAATATCTAGTTTGGCAGAATGTTACTCTTTTCCAGGCATATATGCTCTTGGGCTACATGATAGAAGATGGCCCTCTCTTATTCCATAAACCCCCACCCCGCCCATCTCAAAATTTGAATATTGAACCTGAGATCTTGGAGTCACAAGTCTTAATTGCTAAGGTGTCCCCTTGGAGACTCGTTTTGCCATAATAAACCAGTTGAAAAACACTGGCAAAGCTATAAACTCATTCAATAGGCATTCAGGAAGTAAATTTCGAATTGAGTCAAATCACAGATTATCTGGAAAAAAAAAAAAAAGGAGGAAATCACTGCATAATGCCAAATGAAACAAATAGATTGAATAAATAATACAACTACACATGAATTCTCAAATTACTAGAAGTGCAAAATGTTTATAATTGTAGGAAAGATATTGAAGAAAATGGGAAAATCTATCATAAAGTGAGGCTGAAACCTTTTCATACTATTACCTAATGGGAGGATTATAATAGTTCCCTTACTGTTAAGTTAGTCTCTTAAGGTTAATTTTGGATGAATTGTGCTAAATCAACTCAAGAAATATATAGAACACCAATACATTACAGATTCAAATGTCAACTATAATCTTTTAAAAGCAATCATCTAATTCAACAAATTAGGAGAAGCTTCTATGCTTCTGTTAGGAAAGATCAAGCTTTAACTACCCTAAAACAATACCATCATTATTCACCTCTTAGCAAGGCATTGGAAGATCAACTGTCATGCATATTTTGAATTTTACTCTTATTTTTTAGCCATTCTACCAATTGCCACTCACACAAAATTCTAATCCTATTATATATTGTTTGTTCGTAATCTGAGACATAAGCAATTTGAAATGTATGTAGAGATTCAGAGCTCGAGGAAGACTCTAAAGGAGGAAGACTGTTCTCCCCCCCACTTGAGTCCGAAGAAACCCAAAAAACCAAAGAAACTCCTAGCAAAGTACAAATCATCTCGGAAATGAAAGAGCGAAAGATAGGTATGGCATTATGTTATCTAAGACTTTATTTATATTTTACAGGATTGATTATAATCTTTGCATGCATTAAGTTGATATTAGATTATTTAGGTTATTTTATATTAATTAGTATTTTATTTCTTTTCCAAGTATTAGGTATTTATGGTTATATTTGGTATTTTGCATTTTATTAGGGTTTTGGGTGTAGTTATAAATAGTTTGGTTGTTTTAGTTTTGATTAGGTTTTCAGATGATGGATATTTGAGATATTGTGTACTGTAATTTTCTCCCCCTATCGATTCTTTTCTGGTTTTCTCCCCTAGTTCTTCTGTTTCTTCCTTAATTTCCTCTGTTACTCCCAAATCTCTTTGCCCTACCTGTTCTACATCAACTTGTTTTACAGTTTTAAAATATGGTACTTAGAATTTCAACTTCTCAAAGTTAATTAAGATAAGGAAAACAAAAGTATAATTATGTTCCAATAAGCATAAAAATAGCACAGAGAAGCGAATCATCTTGACAAGAAAGTTAATATTAAAGCAATAACAGCATATAATATTAAACAAAAAATTTAATCAAGAAAATATTCCCAGACTCACTTCAAGGGCAATTGGATCTTTTGGAGAGGTACTTAGCGTTGCCTCAAACTGTTTCAGCCTAGCCTGCCATGTATAAATAGCAAGGTATTAAATATTTCCATGATATGAAATCCAAGAAACAACAAAAATAAACTGATTGCACCAAAATGTTTGTATACAAGAAGATTCAATGAAAAAAAATTTAAAAACCAATTATAAGAACCATTGAGACAATAATTACAATGATTTAACAGTACAAAAGAAAAATTAGCTTGCATCCATGTAATTATATGCAGTTCTGCAAATTGATATGCACAGAATAAAAATAACATTTGCCTTTCCCAAGTGATTTTGGACCCAAATAAAGGCACAAGCAACAAAGAAATTAATCAGAGAAGTTCCCTGCTTTGAATGTTGGAAAACCCCATTATTTAGATGAAGAAATAAGAACAGTGGCACAGCAGAAAGAGTATTCCACCAGGAGGGGAATAAAAAACTAAATACACCCTTATAAAGGCATTTAAATAAGCGACCTTTTCTTCCCTTGCCTTTAAGGCAGAAGCAAAAACAAGAAGCAGTATGTTAAAATACAAGAATTTTTCTGTATAGAAGGAGTGTATCTACAGCTAGGAGAAATACTGAGAATATTAGAGTTAGAAATGTATAAATAATGAGAGATATGATTTCAGGATTAGAGTTAGAAAAGTTTAAATAATGAAAGATATGATTTCGGGATTGACAGTTATTTTTTTTTTATAACATTAGAGTTCTGAACCTCAGTTGTCTTATGATTTTGGGATTGAATGCTTTTATGCATATGTAATGGCTTTTAAATTATCATCAATATACACTGAACATGATGTACCTTGGATCATACAGAATAACAAGTATTCATCCATCCTCCCCGATAAACATTGCATTATCTTGAAGATAGGTCAAGACAAACAGTTTCTTAAATCCAACTATAGCAAGAAATTCCTAAAATTAACAAGAATGTTCCATTAATGATACCTGAAGAGTAGCTTCCTGTTCTTGCGACAGTTTCTTGTCAATCACTGCAGCTTCCTCAGGTGGATTAACACTGGATAGTCATATCAACATATGATAACTCTTCCACATAGACAAATAGTAATAAAAAGGTAAAAGAAAACAAAAAATGAGAGAGAAAGAAATAAATAAAAAAGTTCCAATCATTTGAAGCTTGGATAACATGTACTATGAATACATAGACACACAAGCATGCATTGCACACATGTAAACCAACTTCCTTGGAATAAAGATCCTGAAACTTTTTTTCCTTCAGTGACAGTTGACAGAAACATTTTATGCAAAATAAGGCTAAAGAAAAATGGCTTTTGCTCCTTATTAGTAAATAGCACATATGGGTACACATCCTACAGAGTTTATTAAGGATAAACTTTCAGGCATATGTTAGCCACAAAATAACCAGTTAATATGGCAGACTGCATCTCAAACAAAAATAAATAGATTAGCAATTAACAAATTGATGCAACAAATGGTTAACGCATGAAAGAAATTTCATGTGTTGACAGGCTTTATCTTGCAGCTATAAAATACCAAGTCATGTTTGAGGCGATAAAGGTTATTAAAAGACATATTCTAATGAGAATTGTTCGGGATTTCATCCTATCGATCACTTCCCAGGACAGTAAAAATTTAAGAATCTATGACAGTCAAGTAAATAACCATAATAGTTTACACATTAATCTGTTTTAATGAAACATTTGCAAGCACTTTGTGGAAACCTTCTTGCTTCACATGCCTCCATCTAGCCAAATTCCTTTACTAATTGTTCCCCTTAGGCATTGAATTTTGTACATTATTAGATGCATACTAGTAGGTGAACATATTACTGGCTTATTAATGTCAAAACTAAACAGCCACCATGAACCAGGCCTAGCACTGGTCTGTGCACTTGGAAACCACTTTCATCAGAAACCCAGGAAATCCCAAATTTCCCAGCAGTTCAAGCCTGTACCAGTTACCATGTTCTAAATTCCTGAAAACCAGTCATTTTCAAAATGGATTACCTAGCAGTTTAGCTTAAATTGTCCAAATCCCTTAACATAAAATATTCTAAAAATAGCGGGATAGCTTGCACTAGAATGGGCAACTTGCATACTATGACGTTTGAAGCTGTCTATTTTAGACAAGGGAAAACATTAAGACATAACCTTTATTTTAAGCCTCATCCTTGCACTCCATGTGAAATTCTTAACTACTGGGTTAGTAGCAAGAATTTCAAAATTATCTTCTACCATATCATTATCTGCTTCTTCACTACTAACACTGGTTGTCTCATAGTTAAGCATATAATGATAGTTATATTTTTCAAAAATTCATTTATGTTTTTTCATAAAGGTTTTCTATAACTTGAAGATACTCGACCCATTGTTTTGGATCTTCGATTTTTCCATTTTTAATTTAAAGTTTTCAATTAAATATTTATAGGAGTTAAAATCAAGTTTTTCTTGTTTCTCCTTTGCTGAGGAAGATGAAGATTTATCATCTGCCATCATAATATTACCATAGTAAAGAGGTCCAAAATCTGTAGATGTGTCTGGAGGAACATGTCTTTGGCCCATCTTTTCTACAAGCAAATTTATTTTATCTTCGATATGTTCCATTTTTACAAATAACTTAGAGAAAAAGGAGGAAGAAAGATCAAACAAACCATTTACAACTCTAGTTATTGACATATTATTAGATTCAAACTTAGGATCTATATGCAAACTATGATTATAAACTTGATCTTTGCAAATACAGTTATTTTCTGAAGTTGATTCCATGTTTACGGTGCTTAAGCCCGGGTGTGATTCTGTATAAGTTACCAAAAGCTAGTCAACAACAAGGCATACAAAGCCTAACAAATACTAGTAAATAACCACAAATCCACGGTATGAGCTTTAAAATATGAAATAACAACAAAAACAAGAGTAGATATAAAGACTTTATTTATAAAAATAATATTACAAAATAGATCTGTAAGTTGAAACTTAAAGTAGTGCAAACCTTTTATACAAACCTGTAGCTATGATACCATTTACAACTGCGCAGAAAGGACCACCAAATAAAAAAGAAAAGAGATAAAGGAAAATAAAAAAAAAATTTCTAAGTGAAGGATGGTCAAGAAAAGAGATAAGAAGGGATAAAAGGAGAGAGATCAAAGAACCTCCCTTAGCTTATTACACTAAAGATATTTATAACCCAAAAAGTATAAACAGTAAAAGTAATTAACAATATCCAGAATAATTTTGTGATACAGCTGCTATAGTAAAATTTTATCTGCTATAGTGATCGCTACAGGATTTTTTGTCAAGAATAGTAACTGCTACAGTACAGCTGATTTTTGGCTCCGAATAGCTTTGTCTTTTTGTGTCGGCAACTTGTATCAGCTTATTCTTTGGCTAATTCCTTCTTGGAATATAATTTATCAAAATTGTTTATCCCTTCATGGCATTATCCAAGTTTTGCAATTTTACATCATCCTCATTCAAGGTTTGGTGAGGGTGAAGAGAATTAGATCTGGATTGGTTTCACATCTTCCATCTTTCTTGATATTGGAAGAGTAGTTCTTGTGGGTGGTCCAAATCTTACATCTGAGAAACCTTTTGAAGAAGTTCCACTGCTTCTGATTGACTCTACATTGGAGCTTCATATGGACCATAATAAGTTTGAACAAAAATTCTTCTTCCATCTGTCCAGCAGCACATTTTGGAAAATTGTCTCTGATGGTTTGCTGAAGAAGATGAGTGGCTTTTTCTATCATTTCAATTCCTAATTGGAATTGATATTAAGCTGAATTTAAAAATTTTGAAACTATCTTGTTTAGAGTTTCTGGAATCTTCAAGGTTTCTGTGATTTGATTTAACAAAGTACTAGAAAGGATTTTTCTAATTTTTCAAATTTGATAGGGTTGAAAAAATCTCTCTCTGGAAACTACCAAGTAGACCAGTGATAGTAAAGTATAAAAACAAAAAGTGATGACTGCTTTTTACACATCTGTGAAAGTAGTGTTTAATAAAGGCTAAAAAATCTTTGATCAAATCAAATGATAGGTTTTGTACAAGGATCTGACCAATTATTATCAAAAGGTTCATGATTCAAACGAAATTTAATTTTTGGAATGTGATCCCCAATGGTAATAATATGGATATATAAAGAATAATAATATTCAGAAAATTTTTCGGCTAACAGTTTTTCTGTAATCTGAACAATAGAAAATTTTATTTACTTAAAAAGTTCTTTGGTTAAGAACTGAGCAGCTTTTTCAAACAAAAATATCCTCTTAAGCGTGTTTAGCTTACGGAAATTGTTATTTTCAAAATAATCACAGAGTCTCAAAAAATTGTTTATTTCTAAGACCGAATCTGTATTTTCTTCCAAAGCGAAAAAGTCTATATCTTGCTGTTTTAACAAGTTAGTAGATAGAAGGCTTTGGAGAGCTATTTTTAAAATTCTTGAATATCTGTAGCTTGTTTAGCCAGATATTCTACTAGCTTGGTCATCCCTTTTCGAAAATAAGTTTTATTTTAAGTGAGATGGGATTTTCAAACAAAATTCAACAAATTATAGCCCTGTGGTTTAAGTCAAGGATTATACAAATCTTTGATCTCTTGGTTAAAGACCTTTGTTTCTTACAACAATTTTTCTGTGTAAGAAACTATTTCAGAATAGTTCATTGGAGTCCATTGGTTTGAATCTTGGATAAACTGTGAGAATTCTGGTTGAACTCTTAAAGGAGAGAGCATATAGGGTGGTCTAAAATTTTGTGGTTGACAGAAAAATAATCCTTGGTTAGGATCATTAAAGAAACTAAATCCTGGTTTAAGACTTGTAAGAAAAGAAAGAGATCTTGGAGAAGAAGGGATTAAAAAGGATAAAGAAGACTGTTTCTTCTTAATAGTTCTCCATTCTCCTTGACAATTTTGAAGCTGTTTACCTCGATCCATTCGACCTACTAAAAAAATCAGCTAAAATATTTTTATTAGAGTTAATAAACTCGATAAGAAAACTATATTGACAAAGAAAGTTATACCACCTAATTCTTCTGAGATTGTCTGAGAGTTTTCTGTTTTTAAAGAAGTCTCAAACAACCTGGTTATCAGTTTTTATAACGAAGGTTTCAGGGGTCAGATAAATATGAAATCTATGGCTAACTGTTCTTTTTCATAAATAATATAATTTATTTCGTTTGGTTTAAACTTTCCTAAATTGTAGCCACAAATCAATTCATTTTTTTTATAAAGATTTTTTGCTTTAAATACACATCCCAAATGTTCTTCACTGGCATCTGTCTCTAATATCAATAAATCACCTTGTTTAGGTAGATAAACTTTAAGAACATAGGTTAGCTCTAATTTGATTTGTTTAATAATTTTAGAGTCAGCTTAAGTCCAGATAAAATCAATATTTTTTTCGTAATTTTTTCAAAAGAAGACTTTCTTTTTTAGAAAGGTTTTTGAAAAACTATCTACCATAATTAACTATACTTAAAAACTGTTGTAGCTGCTTGATGTTATCCAGTTCTTTTGAAAACTCCTTGATCTTTGTAATAACATGTTCCTATAATGTCAAACCATTAGCAAATAAATTAAAACCAAGAAATTTTATTTTGGTTTTTTTTTAGTTCAACCTTTTTGGGACTCAAAATGATAACATGCAAAATAAATTCTTAAGCAATGATATCCAGGTGTTTCCTGTGCTCATCAAGTGTATTCGAAAAAACAAGTATATCATCAATATATACACAACAAAATTGTTTATGTTTGCTGAATATAATGTCTATCCAAGGCTAAAATATCTAAAGCACATTGCATAAACCAAAAGGCATAACAGCCCATTGGTAATGGCTTGTTAATGCATTAAAAACAATTAATAATTTAGATGAAACCACATCCGATTATACTTCTAGTTCTGAAAATCAACCAGATCCAAAACCACAAATCCCTATTTCTCAACCAAAGGATAGAGGAAAAAGAAAAATATCAAAAATATCTAACCCAGATATTGATGATGTTTTACGCTTTCCAGATCTGGAAAACCCAGATCTTGTGGAAC